GAATTTGGCAATAGGAGTTCATGGTCTGAGCCAGTCAGCTCCTGGTCTTGTTTTTGCAGACTGTATAGAGCTTCTCCATCTTTGGCTGCAAAGAATATAATCAACATCATTTCAGTATTGACCATCTGGTGATGTCCATGTGTAGAATCTTCTCTTGCGTTGTTGGAAGAGGGTGTTTGCCATGACCAGTGTGTTCTCTGGCAAAACTCTATTAGCCTTTGCCCTGCTTCATTCTGCGCTCCAAGGCCAAATTTGCCTGTTACTCCAGGTGTTTCTTGACTTCCTACTTCTGCATTCCAGTCTCCTATAATGAAAAGGACATCTTTTTTGGGTGTTGGTTCTAAAAGGTCTTGTAGGTCTTCATAGAACCATTCACCTTCAGCTTCTTCAGCGTTACTGGTTGGGGCACAGGCTTGTTACTATGCTACTGAATGGTTTGCCTTGGAAACGAACAGAGATGCTTCTGTCATTTTTGAGATCGCATCCAAGTACTGCATTTTGGACTCTTCTGTTGACCATGATGGCTACTCCATTTCTTCTAAGGGATTCTTGCCCACAGTAGCAGATATAATGGTCATCTGACTTAAATTCACCCATTCCAGTCCATTTTAGTTCTCTGATTCCTAGAATGTCAACATTCACTCGTGCCATCTGCTGTTTGACCACTTCCAATTTGCCGTGATTCATGGACCTAACATTCCAGATTCCTATGCAATATTGCTCTTTACAGCACTGAACCTTGCTTCTATCACCAGTACCATCCACAACTGGGTACTGCTTTTGCTTTGCCTCCATCCATTCATTCTTTCTGTGCAGCTGCTGCTCCTTACCTTGGACGAGGGGTATCTCCTCACGGCCGCCCCTGCTGACCTTGACCTTGAACGTGGAGTAGCTCCTCTCGGCTCTCCTCGCAGAATTGTCAGGTGTCTGAAATGCTGATCTGAACTGTCAGATAGGTGTTGAGTGTTTTCACAACATCTGGGAAACTGCTTATGGTTTGAGGTGGGCTGGAAATTTATTATTTTTTTTCTATTCAAAATTCTAAAATTTTGAATTTTACAGTACAGAATATAGGGTACCACTTCCTAAAAAACTGACACAGAATAAAGATGCACCTGTATACTGAGCTATGTGTGTAACAAAAATATAAAAACACAAAGAATGAAACAAAATTCAAACTAGTAAGTACTTACGGGGAAGGAAGCAATTTGAAGGGTGGGGCATGGAAACATCTACATTAGGTACAATATATAAGCTGCTAAAATATGTGCATTTGTTAAAAACAATAACATATCACATTTGCACTTATATAATTACTAGAAAAAAAAGACACACTAAATTGTTACAGTAAAATTACAAACTTATATGTTTTATAACTCTGTAATTAAAAAATAATAAAATGGAAATAAAATATTTAGTGGAAGGAGGAGAGAGGAGGAAACAGCAATACAATCACTGCCATCGTTTGTTTTCCAACATGATATATTTCACAAAGTTAATGTGGTATTTTAGATTATGAGGTATTCTTAAGGGACACACAGACTGGGATGCATTAGATCCAGTTTATAGATAATATACATTGAACTAGCCAACATATAACATGATCAGTAAGCTCAAATTTAAAAAAAGTAATATCCTAAAAATACTGGATATATATATATGTAGCATTTCCCTCAGGACAGTGTGCAATTTCTGTAACTTCTTTCTTTGTTTAATTTTATTACAACAATATGCCTTTGAACACCTATTATGTAACTGAAACCATCTGGTACTGGCAATACCAAAGTATCAATTAATATGGCTCCAGTTTTCAAGAAGCTTAACATACAGAAACACTGTCCAATACAACTTTCTACAATAATGGAAAAGTTCTATATCTGCACTGTTCAATATGTTGGCCATTAATAGCATGCAACTATTAAGCATTTGTAACCTGGCTGACATGACTAAGAATTTAAATTATTTTATTTTATTTACATGAATTTAAATACCACTTATGGGGCTAGTCCCTATGGTATTGGGCAGCATGGGGCTATAGCAAGACAAGGAAAAAACAAACATAACTTCAGTTTGCCATGGTATACACTAAACTAGAAATAAGTACAAAGGTTATGAAAGCAAGGGAAAGGCCATCACTTTGAATGGCTTCTGAAAGTACTGACAGAAGAAAAGGCATCACATGAAGAGGAACCCAAACAAGTAAAGGCATACATGTAAAAGTGCATTGCAGGGAGATTTAAAAGTAGTTTTACATTACTCATGCAAAAACTCCCTATAAACAGAGAAGACAACGGAAATAAAGGCATGTGGGATCACAATGTACAAAGATTATATGTAAGGTTAGGAGCTCATCTTTATTGTATTAGAAAGGGGAATAGGCACTGCTAAGTTAACCTGGTAATTAATATGATTAGATCTGTGCTCATAGTTGGAATAAATTAGTGTAAATTAGAGGAAGATAAGAAATTTTAGCCAAAAATTGAAGTTACATTTCCTTAGAAGCTTGACAATTCTTCTGAGAATAAACTGTAAACCATTTATATGATTAAACTGTCCTGTCTGAACTAATATAGCAGTCTGTCCATCTAAATAAATTTTAAATACTCTATTCAAACTTTAGTAAGAAATAAAACACAAAAAGTAGATAGCAGCAGAAAAACCAATACTTCAACCAATGCCCATTTGAAAGTCACTAAGTTTTAGCACAAAGTTGAGGAAATGCATCTTCCCAAATAAGTTCCTAAGTCTTTAATCAAGTCCTCAACGAAATAAGAATTGGCAAAGTATTACCCTTTTTATTAAATTCTGGAACATTAGCTTATTATTATCAGAATGCTTAAATATCACTATCAGACATCAATGGCACTCCAAAAATAAAAGGCATCAAAGAGAAATTAAAACAAGTAAGATAAATTAAAATAGGTATAAACGAATACAAAGAAATCCTACTTTATCCATGAAAAACAACAAATAAAGTTCCACAAACATGGAATTTTAAAAAATCCAAATCATTTCATCTCAGCATACATATACAGATTCTAAGTGCTACCAATACAGTAGTAATTTATCTACTATTCCTTTGAATTTCCCATATGTAATTAGTATATCATCATAATTATCAAACTAGAAATTATACTTCTATACATGTACTTTTCAGAAGAGGCTTTTAAAAAAAAATAATTTTACAACAGAAATTTAAACAATTGTTTCCAAGAATATTCCAACATGCATTGACTGTCACTAAGTAAAAAGAAAAGGGAAAATATTTTCAGGCAGAAAAACCCTAACTAAAAATGAATTTTCTGAGAAGCTAAAAAGCCTGGATTATTTATAATAATGTGACTCAAACAGTGTGACTCTAAACAATTTTTTTTTAGCAGAATCAACAGAAACTAGGAAATCTCTTCATGTATAAAATATAATCTGATTTTTATTCTTAAGTGTAAAATTTGGAATTCTCCATTAATATGATTTCATCCAGTAAAGTAATCACACCGTGTGATGATAAAAACTTCTATACTTTGATTTTACAAACTGGATTACGAATACTGAAAAGCCACACAATCTAGAATTATGATATTCTTAAAAAAAAAAAAAAAACTTAGCATAATCTACCAAAATACAGAACCACCCAAGCAGAGTAACCAATGGAAACTTGTATGAGTGAAGGTAGCTGGAAGCAGCTGTGAGGCAGCAGCCACAGCTAGTGTGAGTGATGCACAAAGGCCAGGCTGACCACGTCTGCAAGAGCAGTTCAGAGCAGAAAAGGGTGCAGGAGAACCGCTTCTGCATAGCACAGCTTCCTCTGGCTTATTAAATGCTAAAAATCTGGCAAGAAACTTCAGATACAAAATTGGGTCAAATTCTAGAAAGGTTAAATATGACTCTATTTTTCATTATGTATAGGACCTAAGTCTTGTTTTCAAAGGCTCTTTGTTATTTCACCATGAATTTTCTCCACTGTTCACTTTTCCAATCTAAGGGAAGAAAAGACTAACCAGACTAAAATTAATGATTAGAAGATAAATGGTTAGTTAACAAAGCTGCTACTATCACACCAGTTGCCTTCACAGCCTGCAGAGAATAACACCTGGTGCTAAGGGGCAGAGGGAGGCTGGATATGTATTTGTGAAAGAAGCCTAAAGTTTATTCCTACCTGAGTTATGAACTATTGCTTATTCTGAGTCACTACATAATTTGACAATAAATTATAGGCAAATTAATAAAACATTTTCTTTGAGAAAATTAAATTCAAATGTTATGGGTTTTAAAAAAATCACTATTTAATAGTATTATTGTTAAAATTCACCCTCTTTTAAAAGCTCAGAAAGAAAGAGGAATATTACACTTCAATTATCCTTTCAGCATCCTTACACATTTAGTAAAGGATGGATATTATTAACTACCTAAATGAATGAGAGAACAAGAAATCCAGTATTGTGAGGAAAGCAAGCTAATGATAATAGATAAGCTAATTCAATACAATTTGAGTGTCTTGAGTACCCTGATCTCTATTTCTTTTATACTCTAACCAGTAGTGTCTACATCTCTATGATGCTACAGTACCCTGAATATAGTCCAAGAGTTCAGATTTAGTTTTACAGGAATAACATGTGTAAAGACAATCAACATTTTGTTTCACGGAACACTAACTCTGAATCCAGCCATGAAGTCATAAATTGTGTATTAGATAAACTAAGTTTTGACATATATATACACACCAGGAAAGTTATGCTCTGACACTAAAAGAACATATACATATTTATTATATAAATATATGTACATCATTTGTAATAATATACATTTATTATAAGCATGGTTTAGTCTGAAAAATGTTCTCAACTATTTCAACTGTCTAAACCAACATGCATATTTTTAAAATTATAACCACAATTTTTCAAACTCAGGTGTATCCAACCTGCTGATTCCAATTAAATACAACATATTAAGCAGTTCATGTGACCAATAGAAAAAAAGAGAAAAAAATTGATCTTACCTGGTAGTTTCTTTTCTCAGATAATGTATGTCCATCAGTCCTCACCATAGAGTCGTGTCCTTTCCTCACAGTACTGGAGGCAATCAAATAGAACTGTCACTCAAGGGTCGTGTCACAGGAAGGACCGCCCACCAGTTCTCCCTCTAGAGTGGAATTATCCAAAAGCCGTCATAATTACTAACATGTAAACATATGAACAGCAGCAAAAATATCCAATATGATACATAGAAAACAAAACCAAAAGTACTTTTAATATTCTAATTGATCTTCCTCTTAACCATCTAGGAAGGGCTGGACTGGCAGACATACTTTATTTGAGATAGAAGTTATTAAATATGAAAACCTTTTCCCTTGCAATTAAAACTGTCCGCCAGACCACACACATAGGAAGAAAGTTACAATGAATAAAAATGAAGTGGACAAATAAATGCAGCCCTGAATTGACATATTTTTTCTTTTAAATAAACATTCTCCTGTTAGTGTCAGAAATGTTCAGTTAATTCAGATCTAGTCATTTAATTTCAAATTCCTCTCCTCCAAATGCTTATTTATATAGCTGCTATTTATTCAGTTTATGAGGTTTATTCTTATGCCATAGGATGTGAATACATCATATAATCTTAGAACTGTAAACAGAGGCAAACCTAACTCAATAGTCCGTTAAAATTTACCCCAATGAAAAGTAGCAACAAATGTCATCTTTCTGGATGCCTTAGTCCTTCGGCCCTCCAATTTCACACATGATCTAACAATTTGCTTTTTTACATTAGGGGAAGAAATTAACAGAGCTTATTTCTTAACCTGGCTAGAGACAAACAAGTCCAAAAATGACTAAGCACTGTAAACCTCAGGTACATAAAAAAAAAAAAAAAAAATCACCGAGGCAGAGGTACTAATTGCCAGGGATGCTAACTCAAAAATGTAAACTGAATATGAAAGACCAAAAATTCAAAAGTGGTATCTACAAAGAATTTGCAAACAGCCATTTTCAAAACACAAGTTTTACTTTTACCTAACTTTTAGTAAAATGTTTACTGCTTGCAATGTGGGGCACCCAGGTTCGAGCCCTGGACTGGGAAGATCACCTGGAGAAGGAAATGGCAACCCACTCCACTACTCTTGCCTGGAAAAGGCTACCATCCATGGGGTCACAAAGAGTAGGACATGACTGAGCGACTTCTTTCACTTTCACTTTCCCCTGGGAAAGGAGTGAGTACCATACGTACAGAAGTAACAACAGTTGCTAACCACTAAAAATTATATTCAAATTGAGAGCAATTAGTTAACATCAGACAAAATTCCACTTTGGAAGAGGATGATAAAAACATCTAATTTAAATTCATAAGAAATATGAACCAATTTTATTAAAACCAATAAACATGCATATACACAAACATATGGATTATCCCTAAAAAGCAATCTAGTAAGAAGTGCTGAATATTTTTCAAGGAAAACATTAAGATTAGTATTATTAGGTTTACATTTTAAAAAGAAGTTGTGTAGTAAAAACCTATACTCCAACTCCCATTTTATGTTTGGTAACAAGTTAGTGGGTACTTAATTTTGACCATCTTACATTGTAAATGTTTTGTTAAAATACTTCAAAGATGCCTGGCTCTATGGCAAAAATGTAACTGTGCATTACCAAATTTATATGTACTACTGGAATTAAACATCTCTTTTAAAAGTAACAAAGAAGAAAAGTTTTTTAAAGAATAAGTATATTTATTGCTTTAAATATAATCCTAGCAAGGAACTGGATTATTCATAAAGAAAAATGATCTTGTGAATTGAGGGGGTGGGGGGTCAAGAATAGTTTAAGTGACATACATTCAACTCCAATTTAAACGTTCATGACAGTCACAAAATGAGAAGAAAAGTATTTATTATGCATCCCACATCCCCAAAACAACATTAACTCCGTTTCAATGTATTTTATAATATTAATAGATTAAAACAGCACTTGCCTCATTAACATGTTCATGACAACTCTGAATTCAGTGAACAGTAAGTGAAAAATTTCAGTTTTTTCTTAGGAAATAAGCATGTTTTCCTTCTTAAATAAGTTTAAAAATAAGTTGATGCACTATCTTCCATTTGTACTAGTTTAATAAAAGATATGTCAGAAATCTAAAGTCAGGCAAGGCTATCCCATTTTCAACAGCATAACTTTATACATATAAAAGAGATGATTAGGACTTTTTCTACTAAATAATATTATCATTAAAAATAAAAGTTAATATTTAATCTATACATTCACCAGACAAGAGAAAAATACTAACTTTGGAGTACTATGGATTAGTACAAAAGTAAAACTTGTTTCTTTTGTTTCCCCAGCGTGGGTAACGTTAAGTATTTCATGGCTTAGGGTTTCAAACAACAGCCACTATAGGCACACCTCCAAGAACTGCAGGTTCGGTTCCAGATCACAGCAACAAAGTAAATACCACAGTGAAGCAAGTCATGCAAATTTTTCGGTTCCCCAATGCACATAAGTATTTGTTTACACTATACTGCAGCCTATTAAGTGTACAACAGCATTACGTCTTAAAAGAAAAACAACCTACATCCCTTAACTTTAAAAAAAAATTTATTGCTAAAGAATATTAACCATCTCTGGAGCCTCCAGTGAGTCATCATCTTTTTGATATAGTAACATCAAAGATCACTGATCACAGATCACAGATACAAGAATGAGAAAGTCTGAAATAATCTGAGAATTCCAAAATGGGATAAAGACATAAAGTGAGCAAATGTTGGAAAAACACAAACACTTGTTTGATGCAGCATTACCACAAACCTTCAATTTGTAAAAACACAATAGAATTAAGCACAATAAAATGAAGTGCAGTTGTTAGGGGAACCACTGACTGAAACTACCCACCCTGGCCAGACATGAGAGTTATCCACTTAACAACAGGAGGCTTTGGTCAGGAACACAGCGCTAACAAGCTACCACCAACTGGGATAACTTGGGAGAGAGAAGACCCCAGTCCACATGTCCCATCAACCTCTCAGAACCCTCCCTGGCTGAGTGACACACGTGCCACCATGAAGGACCCCGAGTCAGAATGATTGGCCAGAGACAACCCTGAAATTAATCCCATTTCGATAAAAGCCAAGACTACAAGCCACGTGGCAGAGCAGTCCTCCTGGGTTCCCTAACTGTGCCGCTCTTACCTGGACACCCCTTCCCGGTAAAGTCTCTAGCTTTGTCAGCACATGTGTCTCCTCGGACAATTCACTTCTGAGTGTTAGACAAGAGCCCACTCTTGGGCCCTGGAAGGGGTCCCCCCTCCTGCAACACAATGAGACAATAGTGTGCCTGAATATGTCCTAACCAATATAGGAATCAATATTCTATACTGAACAATAACTAAGAATCATTATCTTCTTTTAGTAAACAAAGGAAAAAAGAAATGAAGGTACTCCATTTTCTTCTAGGTAAACAGATAACATCTGTCAAAATGATCTTATATTAAACTAACATTTGTCACCACTATCCTATATTAAATAAAAATGCTCAATAATAGACTGTGTTGATGCTCATATTAGGAATGGAAGGACAGTGAATAGATAAAAAAGTGTGAATAGATATGTGAGACAGAGAATATGTAAAAGAAAGTAAACATGAGAAAGAACATGCACCCTAAGTGCCTAAATTTACTAAAGTTCATGCACTTTTTTCCTCATAAATTTTAAAAAGTCATAAAAGACAAATATTTATAAAACTAAAATGAAGTTTTCTATAAGGCAGTGATGCCAAGACAGAAAAACAGATAGTATTTACCTTTCTACCTTAAATAACTAAAAAACTAGGAAAAAATATATCAAACACTGATTTTCAGAAACTGAACATCATCTCAGGCCAGAGATCATTAAGAGAAAAGACGAAATGAAGTAAGCTTTATTGCCTATAGAGTTATGAGGCTGAAACACAGGGACGGGGTTAGGGGCTGGAACCCAATCTGAGCCCCAAGAGTCTCTACGAGTTAAGGAAAAAAAAGAGTTGAATTAGGGGAGCCACCAAAACAGCTAGAATTTCCAGGGCAAATGGAGAGAAGGAAGCTGCAGACAAAGGGCTCCAAAAGTCTAGAGAGAGCTTCTCAATGTTTTCGCTAAATCTGTGCATGCATGTGAAAAAAGTTGTTGAGTCTGAAGAAAAAGTCTCTGAAAAGGAGTAGTCAGAATAATCCCCTCAAACCCATGTTCCCACCAACCAGTTAAAGGCACTCAGTCGTGTCCGACTTTTTGCAGCCCAATGGACTGAAGCCTGCCAGCCTCCTCTGTCCATGGAATTCTCCAGGCCAGAAGACTGGAGTGGGTAGTTTATCCCTTCTCCAGGGGATCTTCACACCCAGGGATCAAACCCAGGTCTCCCGCATGGCAGGCGGATTCTTTACCTTCTGAGATACCAGGGAAGCCCCTCCCATCAACCAGAGTAGACCTTTTAACAGGGGGTACCGAATAGAGTTCAAAAAATAATGAAACTTCAGTAATGAAACCAGAAGAGCTTTAAACCAAAGAATTTTCTTGACTAGCACTAACACAGCTTAAAACCAAGCCTCAAAAAGATCAAAACAATTCTAAATAACATTATACCCCAAAATAAAGCCCAAAATATTTAAAATAATATAACATCAGTATTAAATAATGTAAAATTAAATGTCTAGCATCCAGTCAAAAACACTAGCTATGCAAAGAAGCAGAAAATACAATCCACAAGATGAAATATAAAAATGGAAAAAAAAAACCCAACAGTGATACAGATGATAGAATTAGTGGACAAGGAGGTTAAAAGGTATTGTAGATGTATTCTATACATTCAAGCAAATAAAGAAAACTATGAACATAATAACAGAAATGCAAAGTATCAAACTGTATCATGCTCTTGGTGGTGGCGGTTAGATGACTCTACACATGTGAAAATACCACAGAATGATAAAAACATGAAAAGGTGAACGCATGAAGAAAATGGTGAAGTGAGTTAATCTGCATATCTAGTCAGTTATATTGACTTCTCGTTTTGATAATTAATGCACTCTAGTTATGTAAGAAGACATCACTGGAAGAAGACAGGTAATTGGCATCTGTACTATTTTTGCATCTTATGAATTTATAATTATTTGAAAGTCCAAAGATTCTTTAAAGGCTCAAACTGATCACTTTAGAGATAAAAATTTAATATCTGTAACTAAACATGCACTGGAATTCTTCTGGAATAAAAAACATCTTAATGAACTTGAAAAGAAAGGCTTAATGAACTTGAAGATACAGCAATAGAAAAAAATGCAAAGTTAAACACAGTGAGAAAAGAGGCTGGGCGGCGGGGGGAAGGAACCACTGGACAATGAACTGTGAGTTAATATCAACTGCGGCAGTGAACTGCTGAGCAATATCAGAGTCTAAAATTAATGTAACAGTATCCCAGAAAGAGTACAAGAGCAAGAAGGACATAAAAAAAAAACCAAAATGCTAAATTCTTCCTAATTTCATGAGAACTATAAACTTCAGTAACTTCCATAACTATAACTTCCAGTAACTTCAACAACCTCTAAGGAGAACCAAAAAACAAGATTATCATTTGAGAGTCAAACTACTGAAAAATAGTAATAAGGAAATCATAAAGCAGTCAGAAGGAGAAAAAAAAGAATATACATAGAGAAACAGAGACATAAATGACGGCCAACTTGTCATCAGAACCAAGAGGAGAAAAATTAACTTTTTCTTTGGATGGGGTGGGGTGAGGCTTGTGAGATCTCGTTCCCAGATCAGGAGGGACTGAACCCAAGCCATGACAGTAAAAGCCCAGAATCCCAACCTCTAGGTCATCAGGGAATTCCTCTCAACATTTTTAAACTATAGAAAGAAAGAGGAAAATAAAACATTCAACTAAGAACTCTATCTAAAATATCTTTCAAAAATGAAAACAAATACAGTCACTATGGAAGCGTTTGGCAGTTTTTGTTTATTTTTTATAAAGTTAAACATACACTTAACATATATATAGCCCAGCAATTTGCCCCTGGGTATTTATCAAAGTGTACTGAAAATTAATGCTCATACCAACCTACGTATGAACATTTATACCAAGAAAGGGGTCCTTCAGTGTGTGTGCGCTTAGTCGCTCAGTCATGTTCAACTCTGCAACCCCATGGACTGTAGCCCACCAGGCTCCTCTGTCCATGGGGATTCTCCAGGCAAGGATACTGGAGTGGGTTGCCATGCCCTCCTCCAGGGGATCTCCCCAACCCAGGGATAGAATCCAGGTCTCCTGCATTGCAGGCAGATTCTTTACCATCTGAACCACAAGGGAAGGGATAAATAAAATGGTTTATCTATACAACAGAATTCTATTTAACAATTTTTAAAAAGCTATTAATTCATGCAACATGGATGAATATTAAAAGCACTTCCTAAGGGAAAGAATTCAGACCAAAAAGGGTATATAGTGTTTCCATCCATATGACACTCTGGAAAGGTAAAACTATAGAGACAGACAATAGATCAAAGGTTGCCAGGGAACTGGAGAAGGGTGGAGGAGTGACTGATTACACAGGAGACAGGAGGGAACTTGCATGTCCTGAAATCCATAGAACTTAACAACAGGAAGAGTAAAGCTGAATGTATGCAAATATAAAAAATCAACCAGGAGTCTAGAAATACAAAACTGGCAAAAGAGTAACTGTATTACAAATGTTTGGCATATCCACACTGAAGAGGGTATGGAAAATGGCACTGACCTTAATAACTTTGGTAGACAGTATTCTGACTGGTAACTGTAGCAGAAAAAAAAGAACCGTATATGAACACTGTGTTCTGGTTGGTGAAGCGATTCCTTACAAGGCTACAGATTAGTAGTAATGCTGAAACAACTATACATGTCTACTGAAGACAAGCAATCCGTAAAACAGATGGTGGCGGGTGGGAGCCAGCTTTCCCACTTCAGTGAAGTTACAGGTAAGTAAGCAAGGAGGAGCAGCCAGAACAAACTGCACAGTACTGGGATAGAGTCAGAGGCGCCTCTACTGGCCCCAGTTTGTTCTCGACGATAAAACACTTTAAATGAGGTCATCGTTCAGATTGTTAGAGATGAATCACTTTATTAGTATGCTGTATGTTGCTTGAAAATAAGTTTGTAAAATGCTACATGTATCAAGCTTGATAAAGTAGTATTTAAAGGATGTGTAAGCAATGTAAACAAATGGAAAAAAAAAAAAACCCTTAAAATAGATTTAGTCATGTTATCTGCTTAAATTTGACAAGAAGCCAGTAAAAGGGAAACTATAAACCAAATCTTACATAAGAAAAAAAAAGCAGGCTTATTCATCCTATGCATTTCCCTAATATGAGGCTAACAAAAATTAAGCACATAATATTCTCTAAATAAACGCAAACTGAATCCTGATTTTTATTTCAAAAAGAGATTTCTCAAAACAAGAAATCGGTTAATCATGAGTAAAATTTCTAGAAAATTTACTTTATTAGAGAGGAGAAATAATCATTAACTTTATTCTCCATATTCTATTAAGTTCTATATATCATTATCATACAAAAATATTATACCTTGAATAGAACAAGAATCAGACAATCTGAACTCTAGTTAGTACTAGCCTGACCAATCTCCTGCCTTCAGTTTCCTAGTCTGTAAAATAAAGTGATCAATTTACATGAATTTTTTTAATGTGTGAAGCTCCAATGTTCTGTGTCAAAGCAATCCATTTAGGAAAGTGGACAATTACAGTTGATTTTTTCCCATATTTTTTCCTCCCACTTTATTTCTCAGTAGTATGTTATAACACTGCCCAAACATTTTGAAGGTTGGGAATGATATCTAAAAGAGTTTAATTTGGTAGTTATTATTACACTCAACTAAGCTACAATGTGAATTTGGTCAGGTTAAAAGAGTTGAACTTGTTAGGCAGGTTTTATTTTCTGATATAGAGGATATTTATATTCCAGATAAGTTATTAATTAGAACACATTACCAGATGTAACCAGTTTCACTGAAGCTCAACAAAAGCTGAAGTAAATGCACACAGCTGTTATTTTTAAAATCTTAGGCTTCTCAAATTCCAGAACTGTTTCAAAGAAACGTTTTCTTGTTAGTAGGTAGGCTGTAGTTACAAAGATGTTATAAACTATTTTCTGACCTAATTTTTGGTTCGATCACATAGATAAATGTTTTCAAAATTCTGAATTGATGACTTATGTTATATACAAGAAATGTGGGCAGACAAAATAAAAATAAATAAAACTCAGGAATTTCTGTTTCATACCAAACTTAGTCTGGGAAAATGTCACATTAACTAAAAATAGTTCTTCTGAATGTTTCAATAATACAGGTTTCATGGGTCTATGATTAACATGCAAAGTGAAAAGTCACCATTAATAAATAATAACCATTCTTTTAAACTCCGCTTACTCCTGGTTGTGGTAATTTAATGCTTTATAACTTAATTTTGTGCGTCTCTATTTTCCCCACTGGTCCCAGTCCTGACACACCACTTCCGGCGTATCTGTGCAGTTCTGTCAGATAGATTTCAAGGAGCTTTCCAGGCACCTGACACATGTGCTGTGCACTGCTTAGTCACTCAGTGTCCGACTCTGTGCGACCCCCTGGCCTGTAGCCCACCAGCCTCCTCTGTCCACGGGGATTCTCCAGGCAAGAATACTGGAGTGGGTTGCCATGCCCTCCTCCAGGGGATCTTCGCAAGAAAGGGATGGATAAGTTAAAAAACCAACAGTCTAAAGGCCCAGCATCTCAAGACAGAAAACATCTACTACCAAGTCTTAAAAGTTCCAAATAAAATGAAATACAATACAGTCCTACTGAAATGTAATGACAAAAGTTCAATATTTCTGAACCACAGGCTTTCCAATTAAACGCTCCTCATCTGTTTTAGTCTTAAATTAAATTGGGGCCTGCAATTAAAACAATCAGGGGGTCTTCCTCTGCCTGAAACTTACATATATGTTTAGATAAGTTGCTTAACCTCTGTGATTCAATTACTTCATATTAATGTAGTAATATCTACAAAGTCTAGGTTACAAGTAAGATCAAAAAGTTCAAAATAAATTTACAATACAAAAACCTCACTTCAGTAAATAGCTGTTTAATTAGATCAGACTACCAGATGCATTTAACAATCTGAATGTGTAATGGCCAAACTATTAGTACTTACTAATTTTCTGTGAAGAACTGAAGCTTGGAAAAGACACTGATGCTGGGAAAGATTGAAGGCAGGAGAAGAAGGGGACGACAGAGGATAAGGTGGTTGGTTGGATGGCATCACTGACTCAATAGACATGAGTTTGAGCAAACTCCGAGAAATAGTGAAGGACAGGGAAGCCAGGCCTGCTGCAGTCCATGGGGTCGCAGAGTTGTACACAACTCAGCAACGGAACAACAACAATTTTCTGCAAGTTTATAGCTAAAGAAAGTTATCAGAATTAATGAAATGTTTTTGTACCACTCATTGCAGTTTGTTACAAACCCACAAAGGTTTCCAAGGAGGAAGCAGCAACCACCAAAGCAGTCCCTCTAAAGTAAGACCAAGTGATATTAGTCCCGGGACCTCTCTGGTGGTCCAGGAGTTAAGATTCCAAAGTTCTAATGCAGGGGGCACAGGCTCAATCCCTGGTGGGGGAACTAAAATCCCACATGCCACATGGTACAGCCAAAAAACTAGGGAAAAAAAACCAAAACACAAACAAACAACTTGGTTTCACAATTTACTAGAAGGGACTTACTGGTTCTATTGATTCAACAAGGAAATTTGTGTAAGTTATCATCTGCAAGTCAAATTCTTTAGAATATATAATAGCTCCTTTCTTAATACTCTCCCTTGCAAAATGGCTGTACATTCAACAAATAATTTTATTTTATACAAGCAACTGAATATAGCACATGGGACCAGAAATCTGAAAACTGTAACTTTAATACTAACAATTTTTATAGGTAATACATATATATTTTTCTCATAATTTATATAAGCTGTTCATTCTGACAGGTTGGTATTAAAAACTAACTAGTTCATATCAACTATTTAGACTTAATTACCAAATTCGTAACAATTAAGCTCACCAAATTACCTCATTAAGATGCTGCTCTTAACATAAATCTAGAAAGCCAGTTACATGTTAAAGCATGTATTTGAAACCTCAAAACTAATTTTTTTCAGGTTTCCTAAGAATATTAAAACAAAGCTTAAGTAGAAAGCAGAGAAGAATAATCACAGCTCTCCATTTAAAGATAACATAGTCAGTGAACACTAACTTATAGTCTGCCAACTCCTCAAAGTTTATTTTTTGTAAAACACAAAGCGGGAGCTACTGGTACACTGCTTTTTGCATGAAATACAAGGGAATAGCCACAGATGCTCTTCAAGGCACTGGTACGTGACTGTCTAGGACACTAACACAGACAGGAAGAGACAACAGGCCTGTTTATACAGGACAGAAACAGGCTGAAGGATTTACACTATTTTTAATAACAGAATGCACATCAGAATCACCTAGGGTTTTGGGGGTTTTTTCCATTATTGTTGTTTTTTATGAAATATTGATACACCCTTGCCCATATCTTTGGAACCTGGTCATCAGTTTTTTTTAAGTGCTCCAGATGATTCTAATGTATAGCCAGGTTAAGACTTTATAGCAGAGTGAAATTCAAAAATGTTTTCACCACAGTGTAAGTACTAGACAAAAAGAAACATTATACATATTGAGAGTAATGTGTAAGAGCACTTTACATCTCCTATGCATGCCAATGCACCATTTCCTTGCCTCTTACTCTACCTCTGAGAAATAATGGTGGGCCTAAAAGATTAATTTTTAAACTGCTTTTTAAAAACACAAGATTTCTTTTGTTAAAATACATACAATGCAAGTGCAGAAGCAAATAATCAGAAGTATATGAAAAATTCCAGTAAAACTTCATTACAAGAAATTTCTAATAAAAAAGTTCTTCTAATATATTCAATCAGTTCAGTTCAGTTCAGCCACTCAGTCATGTCTGACTCTTTGCAACCCCATGAACCACAGCATGCCAGGCCTCCAGGAGTTTACTCAAACTCATGTCCATTGAGTCAGTGATGCCATCCAACCATCTCTTACTCTGTTGTCCCCTTCTCCTCCTGCCCTCAATCTTTCCCAGCATCAGGGTCTTTTCAAATGAGTCATCTCTTCGCATTAGGTGGCCCAAGTGTTGGAGTTTCAATACTTTAGGTTTAAAAATACATCCACTATCTTAACATTTCTTCCTAGAAATGCAATATTAAGTATCATTTGCAAGGCATGAGGTACTGTGCACTTCAACCCTCAAAACAGTTCTATAAGGTAGATATTACTGTCTACCTTTTTTACAGATGAGAAAAAACCTCTGACAATAAGAAAATTACACAAGGTCAAGAGGTAGTTAAGTAAGCTATAACTGCCATAATTTGAGCTCATGCTCACTTGACGTGAATCCAGTCTTTACATATCTATATATGTATATACACACACAAAGATACAAGTGGAAGTGAAAGCTGCTCAGCTGTGTCTAACTCTTTGCGATCCCACGGACTACACAGTGCATGGAACTCTCCACACCACAATACTGGAATTCTAGCCTTTCCCTTCTCCAGGGGAATTTCCCAACCCAGGTTTCCTGCATTTCAGAGGGATTCTTAACAGCTGAGCCACAAGGGAAGCCCCCAAAACATAAATGTACACGTATATATCTCATACCAATTACAGTTTCATGAAGAAAGGTGATGTTTCTTCATGAAATGTA